TGAAAAGTAAATTAGCTAAAAAATTAATTTTTTGAAAAGCAATTAAAATAAATTTGTAAATATGAAATAAGCATTATGCGTAAAGAATTAAAATTAGTATTTAAACATTCATTAAAATTAAAAAACTAAATTAAGTGTTAGAAAAATAATTAAAATATTAAAATAAGCATTTAAAAATAAGTGTTACTAAATTAATTTTAAAAAATGAAATATTAAATAAGATATATATAAAGAATTTAAATACATAATTAAACATTTGTAAATAATTAAAATAAGTTTTAAAACTTCATTAAAAATAAATAACTAAATTAACTGTTAGAAAAAAAAATTAAAATAAGCAATTAAAATATCAAAATAAGTGATAGTAAATAATTAAAGAAATAATTAAATATTAAATAATATATATATATAAACATTTGTAAAAAATAAAAAAGGAATACGCAATTAAATTTGAAAATTAAAATATCAATCAAATTATTTTTTTGCAAAGCAATTAAAATAAATTTGTAAATATGACATAAGCATTATGCGTAAATAATTAAAACAAGTATTTAAACATTCATAAAAAATGAAAAAGTAAATTAAGTGTTACAAAAATAATTAAAATATTAAAATAAACGATCAAAATAAGTGTTATTAAAATTATTAAAAGAAATATGAAATAAATTTGTAAATATGAAATAAGCGATATGCGTAAAGAATTGAAATAAGTGTTTAAACATTAATTAAAAATGAAAAAGTTAATTTAGTGTTAGATAAATAATTAAAATAAGCAATTAAAATATTAAAATAAACGATCAAATTAGCAAATTAAGTATATGGAAAATAGTAATTTACGTTCATTTTGTTTATTCCGTTATCGGTTGGTTATTGCATCTAGTAGCAGTGTGTTAGTATATTTTTTTAATATTTTTGTTTATCGAACGTTATTTGCATAGGGTTCTAATATTTGAAATTTTGCAGGATGGAATATCATCTGGACGACGCTGTTAGACAGATCCCTGGTAAAGTTACCTCGAATTGTAACTTTACCAGCATCGCTTTGGTATTGGATTTGTTGGACGACGATCACGCAGATATATTACGTCGATCATGCTTATGGCCATTGTATACATTGCGTGATGTACAGTGGTCTGGGCAGCTGCTGGATGCCCTGTTATGTCACTTGCTGAAGCCAGTTGACGGAGACGCCCTCCATTTTGATCTTGGAAGCAAGGTAGCCACGTTCTCTATATTTGAGTTTGCTCTCGTCACTGGACTGCGATGTACGGATGATGCAGAGGCGAGGGCCTGTGTTCCGAGGAACAGGAGACCGTTGAACGAATATTTTCATGGACAGACGACGGTTACTCTAGCGCAGCTAGGAGATACATTAAGGAGATGTGATCGGATGTCTGATAAGTTGAAGTTAGGATTGGTGCTTATCATCGAGAGCATACTCCGGTGTCATCACAAGAAGACATCGATTGACATTTTTCAATTGGAGGTTGTTGAAGATATTGATACCTTCAACAACTACTCATGTGGTTGGAGATGTTTTCTTGATATATTACGCGTGTTTAGGAGGGGGTTTTCAATGCCAAAGGGGGGTAAGCCCGAGCGCAAGTACGATGCATATGGACTGCCGTTGGCACTGCAGGTATATGTTTAAGTTAATGAATTACCTACACTTTTTTTATTGAATTCTATACATAATAATTGTAATTGTTTCAGATATGGGTGTACGAGACTGTCCCCATCTTGGCCAGTCAGTATGCGAGGAGAGGAGAGACACGCTATCCTCGGATGCATCACTGGCGAGCACAAGACAAGCCGCTTGCCAGACAGTTATCGGCTCTCCTCGACGATCCTGAGGTACGTATTATACAATTGCTATTTATGTTATACGTCCTTTTACAATCTGAATACATAGTCATTAACTCCGACATATCAAAATGACAGCTTGAAGTTCTCACTGAATTGGCACCGTCGATCGAGGAGGAGAGTCAGGTTTATATTCGCGAATTGCCTCTTCGTACTGCGCATGACGATCAGATGCCTAAGTCCAGGATGGATCGAGATAGGGTATGTCACTGTGCAGGATTTGTTGAATATCGCTTCGATCTTGTAATTAAGTGCTTCACTTGTAATATTTATTTTTTCAGGAGGATCGTTCAGTACTACCTCCGTTGAGGATATCACCTCCACCGAGGAGAGCACGTCCAGCGAGGATGTCACCTCCGCCGAGAAGATCACGTCCAGCTACGCCAGAGGTTCAGATGCCTGAGTCCAGCGTTGATCGAGATAGAGTATGTTACTTAAAAATAATTCTTCGATTGTCGTTTTATTTTATTTGTTAGGTTATTCATTTGTAATAGTTATTTTTTCAGGAGGGCCGTCCAGTATCGCCTCCTGCACCTAGTCCCCGTGCTTCGACGATTGATTTGTTCGACCTCCTGATGGAGATGAGAGGAGACATGGCAGAGTTACCGGATAATGTCGTGACACTACGAGTTGAGTTCGGGGACATGGCACAGTTACGATATGATGTCGCAATGTTATGAGCTGGGTTAGGAGACCTCCATGCTGAGGTTGCAGCGATACAGGGTGACATAGCAGGCCTGCGTGAGACGAGCGATTATCGAGATGGAGGAGGTAGCGGAGGGACAGGTCACGAGGGGGTGACGGAGGGACTGGTGGCTATCGAGACGGAGGGATTGGCGGTTATCGGGACGAAGGGGGTGACGGAGGGGTCGGTGGTTATCAGGGGGAGGGGGTCAGATGGGATATGTTGACTCATCGTGGCCATCAGTTGCTGCATTTGATTCATTTTTAGATGACACAATGGGGATGGAGGAGCGAGAGAGGATACCTGTGGTGGAGGGGGTGCCCGTGCAGGATATACCTGAGGACGTGGAGGGGGTACCCGAGGAGGAGAGGGTACCGGAGATGGAAGTGGAGGTGGTACCCGAGATGACGTCACCCGATGCAGAGGGGATACCCGAGGAGGTGGGGGTGCCCGTGTAGGGGATACCCTAGGACGTCGAGGGGGCATCGGAGGTGGAGGTGGAGGTGGAGGTGGTACCCGTGCAGGGGATACCCGGGGATGCCTAGGGGGTACCGGAGGAGGATAGGGTACTGGAGCTGGAGGTGGTACCCGTGCACGGGATGCCCGGGGATGTCGAGGGGGCACCGAAAGAGGAGAGGGTACCGGAGGTGGAGGTGGTACCCGAGAAGACGCCAGACTCGCCGGCCGTGGTCTTTGTGTCCGAGGAGGTGGTCCCGATAGCGGGCGAGGGGGTCGTCCCGATGGCTGAGGAGATGGAGATTCCCGAGGCGCATGACGAGAGGACGATGGCTGTTTACATGGTGGAGCGGGTGATCGACAAGAGGCCAAGGGTGCCATCACAGTACGTTCTTTCTCCCTTTACCGCGGAGGCGAAGAGGAGAAGGTTCGTCGACAGGACGCACCCGAATTTATTCAGGGAGGTGGACCACGCCAAGTGGAAAGCCTTTGAGACAGAGTGGAGAGCACTGCAGCCTGGGTAAGTTTTGTATTTTATGTAATTACTATAGTACGCAAACGCAGATGCTGACACATTTATACTTCATATAACTAAAAATTCTGTTCTTATTTTTTCAGGGCCAGCCGCACGATTGCTGAGAAGACGATCTCAAATGCTTACAAGTGGTTCCACGACATCACCACTTCGGGGGCTTGGCTCGCCGACGATGTAAGTGAAATGAAAATATTGTTATTTATTATGTATGTTCAAAATCAATTTTTTGAATGAAATTCATAGATTGACTCCTTTCTTTATTGGTGTTTCTTGATGTAGCACATCGACTTGAGCATGGATTTGCTACGAGATCGTGCTGAAAGACATCCAAAATCGTTCAACATTCCTGGCAGACTCATATTGAACACCGAGTTCATCCGTGCCGTTGACATTGAGTACCAGTCGTTCCAGGCTATGGGTAGCGAGTACACGGTGCCGGAATATATGATGGAATGGGTCGTAGGGATGTGGCCGAGTGTCGGTGGGAAGCCATGGGATGGCTGTACGCATATGTACGTACCAGTATGTGTGAATCATCACTATATTGCAGTGGAAATCGTATTCCTCGACTCCACGATGTATGTGTACGACCCCGATCATTCATGCCTGACACAAGGCCAGCTCGAGCAAAATCTAGAGTCGGTGTCTGTGATCGTTCCCATGATGGTTAGACAAGGGAACATCACTGTACAAAACAGATTGGCCACCGTGCGGAACACGACGACGACGAGGCAATAAATATCGTAAGTGTTTGTAATTTTCTTTCTGTCATTTACATCTTAGTTTCTAACTAATTTTCGATGTGCTAATATAACATTGTTTAATTGTAGGGGTGATTGCGGCATGTTTGTCATCAAGTACATAGAATTTTTGAGTGTGGCACATAAGGTTGATACAATCAACCAGGCATGGATACAAAATTGGAGAAATAAACTAGCATGTGATTTATTTGAATTTAATGGGGATCCGTAAATAATTGTACATATTTTTACATTTATTTAAACATTGTACAGTTCATTCATTTATTTGTAATTACGAAAAAATTGTAAAATGTTGATTATTTATGTAATATTTAAATATTTATTTTACAATGCAGCCTACCGTATAATGCAGTGTCTAGAAAAAGTTTCGATTTCAAATAATTAACATAAATAATATGTATAACAAATGAATGTAATAAATGAAATGTTTGAAAAAAATACTAAATCTAATAATTCACATAAATAATATGCATAAATAATTAACGTCAATGTTATAAATAATTACATTGCCAATAGTTATTAAAATTACACATCCGTTACATTGTCATGTAGAGAAATCTGACTTGTACAATATCTTCTAGTATGCCCTGTTGCACCGCACCTACCGCACTTACGAGGCTAGGGAAACTCTCCGGTAGATGGTATTCTAGACGTACGTGTACGTCCAGGAGTACGTGGTCCAACTGCTGGTGGCAACAACTTATTCAGTAGTTTCCGCATATGCTGCTCTCCAATAATCAGTCATGTAATACACACTGCATAAGGTGTGTGGTGGTAATCCTCTATGCATAGCCACTGCCACTGCATGTGTACATGGAAAACTCTCCAATTGAAACCGTCTACACGTGCACGTGTTATCATTCAAGTCCACAATGTATCCGAAATTATGTACACATCTCACGGAGAAGCGAAATTGATCCAGTGGTTCTACATATACCTTTCTTGCCACATCTAGAGTCTTGAAGAGCTTATCTTCTTGAGCCGGGGTTAGCACACTTGCACAACTCTGTGATTCCTCACGTCGATCATGAAACCACTGTTGTAACTTGTCACGAATGTTCTCAATCATTGCAAGAATTGGTAACTCTCGATCTTTCTTGAATAAAGCGTTAAGCGACTCCGCATTGTTCGACGTCATCATGTTGTATCGACGTCCTGGAAAATGTGATCATGCCCAATGTTCAATCCCTATCTCTGTTAGATACTCCCATGCAGCATGCGATTTACTGTCTATTTCGACCATGAACTTATCAAACTCTTCAAAACTGTAAGCCTCTGCAGATCTCCTAAACAACGCAACGACGCAATTGCCTCGATACCTGGTCTTCAAGTTTCCCTGTATATGGTACATACAATAACCATGATGTGCCTCGGGAAAGACTTCGGCGATACCATTTACTATTGACTGTCATCGATCGGTTACGAATGCAAGATTTTCGACATCTCCAATTACTTCCCTCAACTTCGTGAAAAACCAACTCATTGCTACATCATTTTCTCCGTCGACTATGCCGAACGCAAGAGGGTAAATTTGGATGTTCACATCTTGGCATGTTGCAATAATCAACTTGCCCCCGTATCTCGCCTTAAGGGTTGTACCGTTGACTAAGATTAGGGGTCGCATTGCATTTCGAAATCATCGAACACATTATCCAATGGCCATAAAGAAATATTTGAAGCGATTTTCGTCATCCTTTTCAATAAAAAATGCCGACCCAGTATTAATTCTTCCCATGTTATAGCAATACCTGGCCAATGTAAATAAAAATAATCATAATTTAGATAATATATTAAATATTAAATGAACAGAAAAATAAACAATTCAATTAAATAATTAATTACATATAAATAAACAATTGAAATTAAATAATTAAAATTTACTATAATAAAGAAACAAACACTTAAACAATGAAATACCTGGCTAATTTAGCATAACTCTCCTCAGCCGAATCCATCAAATCCTCCAATGCACATTCTTTAGCCTTCCAAGCCTTCTGATAGCTCATAACCACCCCGTACTCTCGTCGAATATCATTAATGATGTCCGAAGATCTGTAGATCGTTCGTGGATCCTGGAACTTGTGCATTATTTCTCGACCAATGAACCATGATCGGGCCTGCCTATGATCATTTCGACGAATACCCACTTCGCAAGTATGTTCCCGTGCATACTTACGGACTACAAAGAACTCATTCGTGTCCATCTTAGTCGCTCGCAAACGCCAATGGCAACTGTCGTCAACGCAGATAATTGTGTATAACGACTTATTTGATTTCTTCACTTTCAACTCGAAGTTATGTTTTAAAGCAATCCGGTGCACAGCTTCTTGCAATTCTTTCTTTGATTCGAATAGTTGCTCGACATATACATCTTCATCATCAGGAACTACACGCGAACAATTAGAGGACCGTGTACTCGGTCCGGCCTGTGAGCTCCCACCCAACTCATGTCTCCTACGAGATAAAGCAATCAAATCCTCGTTTGTAAATGCATTTTTATTCTCGTTGTCTTCAACTATCGATGGAATTCTGTGCGTAACAGTGTGACCATGGTGAGTAACAGTGGTCTCGGGAATAACCACATCATCTTTACGAACAATCTGAATTGTATCCCAAACATCATTTTCATTACAATTCTCTTCATTTGAAACTTCGTGTTCACCCTCGTGGACATTCTTCCCCAATAAAGTTACGCAAATAGGAGTCGACTTCCGGCCTTGGTTCAATTTAATTAGATGTTTCATTTCCACTTCACAAGTAACTTTCATAGATGGAATTGAAATGGTTGAATGCTTATGAAAAAAAAATCCCAATTCCATATCGTACTGAGAGGGATCGACGTTAAGCATGTTTTGTTTATCACTGTACATTTCTGCGAACGATGTACTCCTTGTTATAAAAATTGCTTTAACCCCATCTCCTTCACTCGTCCATTTCCATTCCCACTGAGCATTTTCATTCATTTGAAATTCACCAAAGTAACAAATTGGAACACATGCTGATGCCATATCTGCCACAAATTAAAAATAAGGAATTAATATATAATTTTTTAAATTGTTCATTTCATATTTAATTTAATTTAATACTTTAAATAATTCATTGATTATTTTAATTGTTTTAAAAATATTTATTTCAATTAGTATTTGAATATTCATTAATATTTATTTCAATAAACATATATTAATGAACAAATAAATTCTAAAATCTGAAAGGGGAGGGGAGGAAAAAATAAAAAAGGGCTGGGCCGGCTGGAAACATTTGGCCCAGCTTTTTTCGTCCGTTTCATCTGAAATTTATGCTCGAATTTTTTATTTTTTCCTTTTTTCAACGAAATAATGTTTAAATATTTATTTTACAGACACCTATAAATTTTTCCTGTAAAATATATGCATACAGAGATGAATTTTTTTTTGTTTTCGCTATAAAAAAATTATAAATCTGTGTTTAAATACTGTAAAATTCATCTGCCTTTCTCAAAAAAATTATTTAAAGATTCAAACAGTAAATTTAACTAAAACAAAATTAAAAATACGTATTTACACTTACCAATTTTCAGTGCCGACTGTGAGTATTGTTTCTTTGTTGAACCTTTGATAATTTTGGGAGATTTCAATATTTTAGCAGATGGAAGGAAAAAAAATTCTTTTTTACTGTATTGGAGAAACTGATAAACAAAACTGATTTTGAAATTTACGTATGGAAGTAACTGAATTTATTTAAACTATTAAGGGTTTTATTGTTTTTTAAAGAATTGATATACTTTTGTAATTATCAAACATGAATAAGGGTAGAATTGTCTTTTTAGTGACAAGGGGCCAATGTGGTGAATACAAAAAAAAATAAAATGGTCAAACTGAAAAATTGGTTGTTTGACCAAGCCATTTTAAAAAGTACCCCTAAATTTTGAGTAATGTGGTAAGCAGACTATTGTCAATCAAATCAGGGGCAGACTCAGACCGCTCGAACTGTGGGGTCAAAATTTTTTTTTTCGAACAACGTATCATAAACAAAAAGAAAAAATTGGTTGTTTGCTGTTCATATTCGATATTTGCACTTTGGGAAGAAATCAGTAGATTATATGATATATTTATGGACTAAATAATATATATGGACCATGTGATATGGATATAGATTTAGGATTTGAATTTTTTGGGGCAGAAAATTAAGTTTTCAGCAAAAAAAAAAAAAATTCCAGAAAACTGTGGGGTCATTTGACCCCACATGACCCCATATGGGTCCGCCCCTGAATCAAATGACAATAATTGATTGGATTTGAACATCTTAAATGGTAGAGATATGAATATCATTCAAGATATTCAATCACTTAATCAACACACGAACTTTTTTTTACCATTAATAATTTAAATAAATATTATTATTCTAAAACTTTATAGCAGTTTTACGTATGAGTTGTTATCCACATATCTGGGGTCTATTTGGTATGGTTTTTACTTCCTGCGGAAAAGTTTTTTGGAAAAAGTTGTCTTAATTTTAAATTGAAAATTATTTTTAAATTAATTCCTATTTCGAAAGTGTTTTTTAGTGGAGGCAACATTGGACCATTTTCTTATAAGAACTCTTCTATTTAAAATAAATACTTTCATAAAATTAAATAAACAAATTCAAAAGCAATTTTTGGAGTACAAAAGCTCTTTTGACTTTTTAAAAATCATTTCAATCAGACTCTTAGTACATCAAATCGTACATAACAACCCACAATTTTGTTGCCTAAATGTTCAACAATTATAGATTAGACATATCATACACGATACGACCTCTTGGGATAATTCCTTTTTCTATATGTATGAATCGGACAAACCCCACGGTGGGAAAGCCAAATCATGCACGTTACCGAAGATAAAACCGTGACAGCCAAACTTGTCAAGAAAGACTACATGATTGTCTTTTCATGCCCCCAATTCCAAAAGTGTTCACGAGACCCCGAATGTTCACATTAAATAGGTCATCTTCCTCTCTCTGTGAGCTGCCATGGCTGTTAATAACTTGGTTAAGATCTTGGCACTGGCTTTGGTCTTCGCCGGAGCTTTTGATTTTGGTTTTTCATATGACCGACCGCCACGCCGGAAGTCTCTCTCTAAACCACTCTTGAAAGATCTTGATGAATTTGATCCTGCTTCTCCACAACAGGTATCAATATACACCATCTTATTTTCCCCCTTAATTTTCTTCGTTTTATCCCTTTGCTGCTCATATTGAATAGGATTGGACGTTATAATTATGAAATTCTGTGCATACGTATCAAAGTGCATCAAACATATCATTAATGTATTATTCAGTCAGTCGACCTGTTGAGTAGAGATTCTTCAAAATCGTTTTTTCTTGAAATTTACACATTTTCTCAATAAAATAATTAAACCCTATTAATTTTTCCATGAATCCCATTTGGATCTTGAAATTTTGAGGTCATGTGGTTGACAAACAGGACGGACCCACATGAGGTCATTTGAATGACCTCATAGATTTTTAAATTTTCCTTCTTTTTTATCTTTTTTTTTCCCCTTGCTTAAAATGTAATTTTTTGCCAAAGTAGTGAGCCAATTCAATTAAATTTCCTATCCCAATGCCCAAAAAGTCCAAACCCAAATGATACGTTGTTCGAAAAAAAAATATTGTTGACCCCACAGTTCAAACTGTTTGGATCCGTCCACGTTGACAAATGTTTTTTCCACTACATATGTGATACTTTCAAGTGGTGACACCATTCCAAGGCACAAAATCTGGACTTTGTGAACTTAAAAAGTATTAAAAAACAAGTAGTCTTTGCCTTGAACTACGTAAGAATTGCTGCATCTTATCTCTTTACATCGTTTTTCTACCATTTTTCAACGGAAGCTACCAATTAATGGTTGTTGAACTAAACAAAACAAACTCTTGATGCAAATATCATTATTTAAGAGGAATAATTGAGTATTTGTTAATGTGAAAAGAGTACGTTTAGAACATTGCGTTGTATTTGGGGGAGATATAAAAACGTGTATAGATTGACAAATTAAAAATCTAATAAAACATTTTTCATTTATAGGTAATTTTTATGACTTGCGTTTATTTATAAGTTTTTACACATAAGCAAGTTTTTTTACTTATAAGTAAATTTTTAGTTATAAGTTACTTTAACTTGGGAGAATTAAGAAGTAACTTTTTGCCTATAAGTAATTTTTTTTACAAGTAATTTGTGTACTTGTTACTTTTATTTCATCCACTTCGCTTTTTCTATGTTATTATTATTCTTCTACAAATAAAAAATAATCCATTCTAAATCAAACTTGTTGGATGTGTTAATTAATACAGTGAGAGGAATTAAAAACAGATAATATTACAATTCTTTTTAATCCTTGATGCTACCTAGAAGGTTGGTTAAACATCTCCTCGTTTTTCCATGTTAGATGACCAATTTATGATCATATTTTAATTTACTTTATAAAATAAAAGTGATAAGCATGTTCAATCTAATATTGCACGATATATTCAATCTAATAACTTGCAATTATAGTCAATTTATGCCCTTAGTAAAAAATAATTCAAAGAAACAATAACGCGAGCACGATGGATTCAACCTACAATTTATCATAAATATTAGTTCTAATTTTAGTATTTTCTTGGAAAATGTGTTGTTAATAAGGAAGGAAAATTTTTGAATTCTCGTGTAAAATTATTTTATTGAATAATGTGTGGTTGAAAATGAGTTTTGAAAAAATGAATGTGTAGCAATCAAAGAGACTATTGAAGTTCAATTTAAAATTTGTGGATGTTTTCCGAGCATAGTTTATAATTTGGAGTCTATTCAGTTTTTTTATCCTTTTTATTTATTGTTCACTACATTATGATGGCAACAGGTGCACATATCTTTGAGTGGTACAAACAAAATGAGAATATCTTGGATTACTTCTGATGAGACACCAGCTATTGTGAAATATGGTATATCGTCTGGGGACTACAAGATTTCAGCAAATGGGAGTACCAATGAGTACCAATATTTGACTTATAATTCTGGGGTAATACATGATGTAGTCATTGGCCCTTTGAACCCAGACACTGTTTACTACTACATTTGTGGCACAAATTATTC